CGGAAGTTGTGCTAACCGTGTTAAGAGTTTAGGAAACTTGTTAAATGTATTGAAAAAAGTGTCATAGCCATCGTAAAAAACTGTAAATTACAACAAAATATTACTATATTCACAATATACAGTCTCCTCAACACCACCAGTGTGCAGCATCCACTTGCATGATGCGATGGCAGCCACAGGACAAAGAAACAGTTTGCTTCAAAGTGTAATTTAAAAAGCTAAAAATTTGCTCAGGTTTAACTTATACTGTTTTTAAGCTAGTTTAAAAAGTTACGCTTAAGAAATTCTTATAAATATACGTTAATTAAAAGGCTAATTTACTCCCAAGTAGTTTTGTGATTTACTCTTACAAACGTTAAGCATAGGTGTAGTATATTGATATTAGTGTACTTGCTGTATTAGTGTACTCAAGTATACTTATTTGTCATTTTTTCTTTACTTCATTGCTAAAAGTGTTAGACACAAATAAAATTATTCATTAACTGGCTAGCAATAACCATAAAAAGAACATAGACAATACTATTGTTACGATTTAAAAGATGTTAAATAAAGGGGAAGAGGAGTAACACTAACTTTTGGGTGAAACACATAAGCAACCACACAACATCAATAAATGAGGGACAAAAACCAAGACCAGCTAAATGCAATACGTGATTTTATTTACAAAAATAGTGATAATAATGAATGCCAAAAAAATGTATATAGAAAGATTCTTGAATATTTACAAAGAGACATTGAATTTCACAGATAACAAATGACCTAAGATGTTTGACCAGATATGGGAGAGTTGGAGAAATGAGACGCGGGCGGCATCCAAACAATAAAAATAAATAAAACAAAAGCAATCTATTTGGCCCAATCTCTACCCTATCTATCCAAAATAAAAATGCAGAAGTTATTGAAAAGAAATCTTCGCGTCTAATACGCACTACCTAACCTACGCTGATCTCTGATGGGAAAACCAAAAGTACAGTGGGTGGAGCACGCCCCTTACCTAGTGTGTCTAATACAGAGATTTTCAAGCTACTTGTGCACAATGTATGTCGCACGACATTCTTACCTGTCCCACTCTCCAACCTCAGATGCGCATGACACAGACGGTAGACAAATGGAGAACAAATAACGGACAGATACCAAATTGTAACACACAGTAGACATATATCAAAAAACACAGACACACAGCACAACACAGAAATTCAGGGCCTCCAGAGTAGCGTCCTGTCACCACTTTTATGCCACGGTGGCAGCGGCTGGATTGGAGACCTTAGATGACGTCAAGGGGGGCACGGCAAACAGCTGGGCAGCGGTAGCCAATCGGAGCCACTGTATAAGTGGAAGCGGGAGAGAGGTAGAGAGCAAGCGAGCACAGAGAGAGAGAGAGAAAGAGACTAGCGAGAAAAAATATATATATATAAATAATAATTACGCAACACAGAAATGTACAGGAATGTAACAACTATAAATAATAGATATGCTGATTTCACAGAGCAATGCAAGTCGAATATAAAGATGTGATGACCAAGAAAACTAAACAGTGCTGATCATTTGTTTATTTATTTATTTAAAGAGAATTCAAGTTTTACAGGAGGGCTAATCATTTTGACTTCAACTGTACATCAGATACTGAGAGGATCAGTGTTTAGCAGGTTTCAATTATGAGTTGGTACCAGATTTAGAGCAAGTGATGCTGCTGATTTTGATCATTTTATGCGGTTGTTGGGTTTGTTGTTGTAATTTCTCTATTTCTACCATTCCTGTGTTCTGCCTATACAGATCCGGTGAAGTCACTCTGGTTGATGGAAGAAGTTAGTGTCGCTCTACTGAGTAATGCTCAGTTACAGACAGGAAATCAGATACTGTGGACGTTTGGGGATGAAAACACTCCCATAGCCGAAATCAAAGACACAGGAGAGATCATCTATTATCATGGACCTGATGGGAGATTCAGGGACCGATTAATGCTGGACAAGACGACAGGAGATCTCAACATCACAAACACCAGAACAGCACACACTGGATATTATAAATTAAAGATCAGGAGAAATGCAAAAACCTTATTCAGGAGATTTCACCTTACTTTCTTTGGTGAGTAACACTTAACTCCAAGTCTTAAGGTGTAGCAAAAGCCACTTTCACACAATAATACTAGTAAATTGGCATATATATTTTTTGGCAAAAAAAATTGTCAAAAAAATTCAAGAATTATTTATAGCTTATTATTTTTGTATTAGATTCATTGCAAAATGTATATTACATGTTGCTGTTGCTGCTTTTCAGTATGGCCTATTTAAAAAAAAATAATAAAAATCTGCTTGTTTCTGTGCTGTTGTGACAGATAACGCAATGTCAGTGTTGGTGATGATGGACAAATTAATCATCCTGAAGACCGATACTGAACTACAGCCAGATGATGAGGTACTGTGGAAGTTTGGAGATGAATCCTCTGTTATAGCTAAAACCAAAGGGGGGGCTAGAGAGTCCAATACGCTTCCTGGTCCAGGTGGGAGATTCAGAAACAGAATGAAGCTTGATCAACGGACTGGATCTCTGACCATCAAAGACACCAGAACCACAGACTCTGGACAGTATAAACTAGAAATCATCAGAAGTGGAAAGACCTCAGTCAAGTTATTCATTGTTACCATCTCTGGTGAGTAGTTTTTAATAATGGCCTTATTTTAGATTAACATTGTGCCAGTCATTTAGATCATGGCGGTTCTTCTTCCTGTTGTTCAGTTCCAGTCCTAATCAAATACTTTCAGGTAATATGGTGATTATTTTGAAAAACAGGGAAGGACAATGAATGAGTTATATGACAACAATATACTGAATTCTGTTGAGCGCATAGTATGTGATATTTTTTTTTTGCCTTTAGAGGGTGCATAGTCACAACAAACAAAGGCATAGTTTGATGATAGCATAAGTGAGTGTGGAATCATGGGAGTTGTGGTATTCATCTTACGAAGAAAGAAAGCAAATTGAGAGTGCTGAAGTAATTGCTAATGAGAGACAAACATTACGCGGAACTAAATTAGCAGAGCTTTTATTATGCCACAGTCCATTTCAAGTTTTTCTGCTTGTAATCACATGGAGAAGAAGCCACACTGTTTTATCACATAACTGACTAAATACATTTAATGCTGCTCTGTGCAGTCTAATAAAACACGTTACATATTGAAGGCTCGCTGCTGTTTTATATAAAAACCAAACCAGAAATAGTGTATGTAACATCATTAGCATGAACACACAGAGCATTTGAACAAACATTTGGGATAACGTAAATACAAAAGTCAGCATAACATATAACACTGTTCAAGTGTTTTTTGGATGTTTACAAAATAAAATCTTATATATTGTTCATTTAAACCACGGCGAATGAAGTTCTGCACAAGACTTTTGGCCAGCGGAGAAATTAAAATGGTCGTGCCCAACTGAGTCTGGTTCTCTCAAGGTTTTTTTCTTCACTCCCATCAGGTGAAGTTTTTTTTCCCTCTCCGCTGTCGCCACTGCCTCGCATGGTTCAGGATTGGTAGAGCTACGCATCGATGTATTTGCTCTTCAGTGTTTGAACTCTCAGTAATGATTAAATCACACTGAACTGAGCTAAACTGAACTGAACTGAACTTAAACACTAAAACCTGAACCACACTGTTCCAGTTACTGAACTACACTGTTCCAGTTACTATGACCATTTATGTGAAGCTGCTTTGACACAATCTACATTGTAAAAGCGCTATACAAATAAAGCTGAATTGAATTGAATTGAATTTAAACTATGAAATAAAATACAAATAAGTTAAATTATTTCTGCTTGCATACTATGTTTGCGTGTATTGTGCATAAAAGGTTTATTTATACATGAAATATAGGTAATATAAATATGTAAATAATTTTGAAGTATTTTCATCTGTGTGTGTGTGTGGTCAAATGACACACTATAGAGATTATGCACTTTTAAACTCATTGTGCAGTGCATTAATTTAGTGAGTTTGCATTTCATACCATATGAAACACTAAAATTTTTTTAACAACAAAATAATTTAAACTGTTTTCCAGTCTACGATTAACAAACAACGTTTTCAAATGATTGAATCACCAGACTACCAAATAACACCTGTTATAAGTACAATTGCATTCACTATCAGGATGAGACATAATAACATAATAATCAAAAGTCAAAAGTGCACCTATAGGACAAAATCCACTTACTTGTTTCAGAATTTTCAGTGTGAATGCACTACTTATACTATCTATACAACAAAATGGTGTAGAATAGTGCACAAGTATGCTATTTGGGACTTATTTTATGTAAATACATATTTTTATTTGCAGAAGAAACTTCAGAATTTGTGTTACTGTTATAGTTAATAACTAACTGTACTTTAAAAAATCCTCTGAATAAGATTGAAATTGTAGAAAATCTTGATATGTCTTTTTTTAAATACACTGACTTGAGACCTAATGTATATTAAATGCTACACATTTTTCACTGATCAAAGTATCGTCCATATACAAAATCCGAGCTTTTCTTTATTGTCATCATTTGTCCTGCTGGATTTCTTTCAGATCCTGCTGGATTCGGAAATGTGCAAGAGGAAGAAGCTTTGTTGTAGCAGGAACACTTCAGTGACAGTATTTAATTCCAGTCACCACAGATGGAAACCACAGAGATTTTGTGTTTGGACAGGACCTTCTACATTTCTGAGGGGTTCTAGGAGTGCCCTTCTACTCTCTTCCCGCCCCCACACTCCAATTCGGCATCCTGGTGTAATGTAACATTTTATTTAATGTATATCATAGATTTGTTTCTCTTGTGTATGTGGCACAGAAGGGAAATAATCACGAGGATAAAGTTACAAACTTTGCCTTATTCATGTTGCCAGATCCTGAAAAGGGAAGAAGAAAAACTATTTTTAAGAAAATGTATATTTTAAAAAAGAATTAAGGTGACACGGTGGTGCAGTAGGTAGTGCTGTCGCCTCTCAGCAGGAAGATCGCCTCGGCTGGGTCAGTTGGTGTTTCTGTGTGGAGTTTGCATGTTCCCCCCTGGGTTTCCACCAGGTGCTCCAGTTGTCCCCACAGTCCAAACACATGTGATACAGGTGAATTGGGTAAGCTAAAATGTCCGTAGTGTATGAGTGAAAGGACATCTGCTGCATAAAATATATGCTGGATAAATTGGCGGTTCATTCTGCTGTGGTGGCTGAATTAAAATGGTATATACAATTTAATAAGATTTACAACCAAAATAACTACCCTGTGGTCACTTAAAATAAGTGGACATGGCAACACTGCCATTGCTTAAACTATTAAAACTCCCACTTATAATCAATATTTTTTTTTTCAGAACATATGAAGCAATGATAACTATGCAAGCTTTTCTAGTTTTTCTAACATTCATATGCAAGCTTCGTTATCCAGGGGTCTGTTCTTTGTACATGGTTTACTCAGTTAGCTGGATTTGGTTATTGATGATGTAGGGATAGTTTACAGTTTAACCCAAAGAATGACCAGTCTGGTAGATGAAGAAGAGCCGGAGTCAGAGATTTAAATAAATAAATCAGGTTGACTGAAGATAGTTTGCAGTTTCATCAGCAGAAGCCAGCTTCAACACTCGCAATGAGTTCCTAGGCCGCTCTGCTTACAATCACCAATCAATAACAATTATACTCTCACATCATTAACTGCATCATACATACAGGTGTTCTAACCTGATTGGTTAAAACACAGAGACTAGGAACATTTCCACGTGAGGTTCGTGCGTACAATTCTGAACAATATCTAAACATAAACGTCAGACACCCTTTAGACTGATTAGAGCTGACTCCAGACCTGTGAAACGGATCAACAATCAAATAGAACACACACACATAAAGTATAATCTGTTTCTTATCCAAGGCTGAGTGTACTGTCAGCCGTCTTTATCAAATTGTTTAAAAACCAGTATAATCTACATTCAGACAGTTATATTCTTACTACACAAAGTCTATCTTGAATAAAATCACTTACATTTACATTTACATTTTGTCATTTAGCAGACGCTTTTATCCAAAGCGACTTACAAATGAGGACAAGGAAGCAATTTACACAACTAAGAGCAACAATGAATAAGTACTAAAGGCAAGTTTCAGGTCTGTAAAGTCTAAGAAGGGAAGTATTAGTAGTATTAGTATTTTTTATTTTTTTTTTTTTTTTGTACAGTTAGTGTGATATTCAGAGAGGCAATTGCAGATTAGGAAGTGAAGTGGAGACTAAATAGTTGAGTTTTTAGTCGTTTCTTGAAAATAGCGAGTGACTCTGCTGTTCTGATGCAGTTAGGGAGTTCATTCCACCAACTGGGCAGATTGAGCGTGAACGTTCGCGAAAGTGATTTCTTCCCCCTTTGGGATGGAACCACGAAGCGACGTTCATTCACAGAACGCAAGTTTCTGGAGGGCACATAGATCTGCAGAAGTGAGTGCAGATAAGACGGTGCTAGGCCAGAAGTCACTTTGTAGGCAAACATCAGAGTTTTGAATTTGATGCGAGCAGCAACTGGCAGCCAGTGCAAATGGACTAGCAGCGGAGTGACATGTGCTCGTTTAGGTTCATTGAAGACAACTCGTGCTGCTGCATTCTGGAGCAGTTGAAGAGGCTTGATAGAGTTAGCTGGAAGCCCAGCTAGTAGAGAGTTGCAGTAATCCAGTTTGGAGAGAACAAGAGCTTGAACAAGGAGTTGAGCTGCATGTTCAGATAAGAAGGGTCGGATCTTTCTGATGTTATAGAGTGCAAATCTGCACGATCGAGCAGTTCTAGAAATGTGGTCAGAGAAGTTTAGTTGGTCATACATTAGTAAATGTTCACTTTAAAAGATTTAACCGTTTTAAAAGATTTAACCGTAAAAATAGCAAAATAACTTTTAGACATTTTGAACAGTATTAACTCGTAGAAATAACAATAGAAACAGTTGCTTCCAGTCCTCAGCCCTCAGTTCCACTCAAGGTCTCCATGACCTCTGACCTAGTTTGCTGGCTCCTGAAAATAGTTATAAAGACAGGCAAATGCACTGAACATTCTTAAATTAAGCAATGTGTTAACTTATTCATTAATTAAAATCAATTCACAGTTAAATACTGAGAAACAGGATGATGAAAAGGATAAACGTTGGTCCATGATGAGACAGATTGGAAAGCAGAAATCCGAATCCTTCAATGATTTGACAATCCAGGATCGTTTAGTTTTTCAAAACTCATCCGAGAGTTGTTGTCATAGCAACAGTTCTGCTAAGTAAGGTACGAAGAACAGACCCCTGGTTACTGGCATACAATCACAATTAGTCTTAAAATGAACAAAACACTGTTTTGGAACATTTTACTACTGACACAGTTGCTCCATTATATTGAATCATTACTTTTCTTTTTTGATTTCTAGACTTCCAATTCCTGCTAAACAGAATGCAGTTGTTTGTGGTTTCATCTTCTGGTGTTCTTCAGTCAATACATTTAGCTGATGTTGTTAATTTTTTAAAATATGCTCAATTAAATTTACATGGTACAATATTATATTCTTGATACATAATGCAATAATGTGTCTGCCTTTTAGGGTCCCTCAGCCTAACGTGTCTTACCAACAATGTAACTAGGGAAAGGCTTTTGTGATTTCCAGGAGATTCTGTCATGGGATGACTTAGCCAATTTTTTTAGTTTTTTTTCCCTTTATTTCTTTCTCTTGCTTTTTTGCATTATGTTTTAAGGGTGGCATGATGGCTCTGTGGGTAGTGCTGTTGCCTTACGGCAAGAAGGTCACTGGTTCGAGCCTCGGCTCGGTCAGTTGGCATTTTCTGTGTGGAGTTTGCATGTTCTCTCCATGTTGGTGGGGGTTTCCTCCGGGTGCTCCGGTTTCCCCCACAGTCCAAACACATGCGCTATAGGTGAATTGAATAAGCTAAATTTGCCATAGTGTATGTGTGTGTATGGGTGGTTTTTAATACTGAGTTGCAGCTGGAAGGGCATCCACTGTGTAAAACAGTGTAATGCTGGATAAGTTGACGCTTAAAAAAAAAAAAAAAATCTTTTTTTGTACATTTAAGGGAGTAAATGTTATCTTTGTTTTGTAAGATTTATTACCTTTTTTTTTGGTAGTTATTACCACTTGAGTTACTGGCTTCTTAGGAGAGAGAGAGAGAGGGAGAGAGAGAGAGCAAACAAGGGAAGCGACAAAGGCTTTTAAGAATTTCTGTTTTATTATTATGTATATAATACTTTTTACATTTTTCTGTTTTATAAATCTCCCTGGTGCTAGAGAAATTTCCTAACAGTATTAACCAATGTGTGTAATATAGGTTGACAAAGGCAAAAAATACGCCTGATGCTTTACAATGTAAAGCTAAGACCAGATTAACCCAACAGATTAATGTAAACCTTTGACATTTTATTCCTTTAAATTAGAAAAAAAAAAGTCATAACAATAAATGTTTTCAATTTTTTTTTTTTTTATTATATTTGTAATGTACAATTTGGTGGTGTTATTGAAACTTTGCATGTTCTGCCATGTATCATTAAATAAAATGTTTTTTTGTTTTTTTTTAATATGCAAAGAACCTCATGTGATTGTGTGATTGGCTGAGGGGTTGACAATACTTAACTTTATAATCATAATGTGTATTCAGGCTAAATATCCAAAAATTTAATTCTCAAAATAACAGTCACACTTTACAATAAGGTTCATTAGTTAAAATTAAAGCATTTACTAAGATGAATAAACAATGAACAATACATTTACTACTGTATTTATTCATGTTATTAAATGTTAGTTAATGAAAATACAGTAGTTCATTGTTAGCTCATGTTAACTTATGGTGCATTAACTAAACAAGCATAGACTTGGATGTTAATAATGCATTAGTAAATGTTCAATTATGATTAATAAATGCTAAGCAAGTGTTGTTCATGATTAGTTCATGTTAGTACATGCATAAACTAATGAACATTATTATAAAGTGTTACCAAACTAACTTTGATATAGCCTAGTATTTACTAATAAATATGCATTAACACTATTTAAGTAGGCCAATTTTTTGGGGGGAGGGGCTCTTTGTGAACCTACAAGTTGATCAGTTTGAATCAGGTGTTTTCTTATAAGCCGCTTTCTCAAACTATCAATTCAGCAGTGTTTACTGCTGCAAGGTCAACATTTAAAATCATTACGTTTTAGATAATCATCACCTTAGAATTGTCAAAATTGAGTTATTAACATTCTTATTAAATGACAACTAATCTACAGTGTCTGATGTTTTTTAAATAAGTTGTTTTCATTTTAAGACTTTTAATTCAAAAAAACAAATGTTGCACACATACTGTCTGCTATATGTAATGCAACAAATTTGAAGCTTGATATCTCAAAATCATTCAGAAAGCTGATAGAACTTCATACAGGAAGTGATTTGTTTGCTTAAACAGAAGTGGCTTGCCGCAAGAAATTAATCAGACACACTCTTTCTATCTATCTATCCTATCTATCTGTGTGTATGTCTGTCTATCTATCTATCTGTCTATCTGTCTGTCTGTCTGTCTGTACTTAAGACTATAAGCCAGGTGTGTGAGTTGGTGGTTGGAGTTAAATTTTGCAGAGCGGCGACCTTTAAGGAATTGAGTTTGAGACCATTGATCTAAATCAGAGAGAAACGTAATTTCAAATCTCTGTATACTGTATATGTATCTTAAAAATGAAGATGACTGATTTTGACTACAAGGTATTGCTCTATGGGTATTGCTAACCAAGTGCGACATCCTGTGGCGTTAATATGTCACTGACAGTTTTAAGTCCCATGTTTTTTTATTTTAACGACGAGTAAAAAACAATGCCGGGGTGTACATAAAAATATATGAAGAGCATAACAAAGTAAACTTGTATATAGACTCAATAGGTAAAACAAAGTTAAAAAAAATTAATAACAAACAAACAAAAATCGCATGATGTTTGTTAATCACCTCTAGATGACGCAACAAACACGCTAGTCTTA